AAGATATGACACAAGGCATGGCTAGAAGTCCGCCACACAGGTTCCTTAAGCCGCACACGTTTGGTCTCCTTAAGTATTACTTTCCTTGTAATTTTTCTTCCATACTACGATAAGTCATTGTAAATTTTTCTGTCTTGCCATTGAACAGAGGTATTTCAAAATCCCTTACTGATATTTCATTAGCAACGACAAGACATAAGAGTCGGATACTAAGGCCACAATTACTAAACTCTTTCTTTTAAGGGGTCACATACAGGATGCACCACTCTACTTTAATTTACTGAAACCTCTTCAAATGGTTCCCATATGTGGAACGAATCAAATAAACATGTGTGACATGCTAAAACCGACAGAAACATTTCTACGATGGAAACATTTCTCAATGGAATCCAACTCCATGTACAAACGAGTGACAGCTGCATATATAGTTTTTTGTTTGTTTGTTTTTTGTTGTTGTTGTTTTGTTTAGTTTTTTTTTGCGAAAACATGCCAGCCCTGGGGTTCTGGAGTCAATTGGACTTGCAATTTCGTTTCATGCTGCCTTCTATCATTTTCGCAGCGGACAGTTATAAGCAGAAGCAATCTTAATCGCTCAGCATCCTCCAATCACGGCTCACGATCAGGAATATGACATTTTGAACCATACGTTCACGTGTTTCGTGAGAGGTGCGGAAGATGTCTGAAGGCAACGAATCAATGACGTCTCTGTAACACCAAAGCTCGCATGTTATCGCGAAGTGCACTCAACATGTTTTGATCATGTAGACTGTAATTATTCTTCAGTACGATACCAGATACTTCTCCTTGCTAGCCATGGCAATAACACTCCATATACCGATGACTGGCAAAATGAATTGGGATGGTTGAAAGAAAACACTATAAGCGTGGACCAGGAAAAAGTCTTGCACGAAAAAGTTTTTAGCCACGTATTTTCTTTGTTTTCTAAATTACCTCAGTCTTTACGTCAATTGTATATTAAAAGTCATCAAATAAATTTAAATAGAAAATTTTTTAGTGTTAGAAAATACCTAATGGTTTATGATCCTTTATGTTACTGTTGTAATTTTTCTTGTTGAAGTATATAAATAATTCTTTAAACATAAATAATGCCAATAGCACCGTCTCAATAAGTTAGAAAGCATTGTCCAGTCGAAGTCAGAATGTAGGTCGATCGTGCCAGTTATCCTTCGCGGAGAACCACGTAATGGTCTGGTTTGGCAATGATGTGTTCATTTGGGTATCCTGTCTAAAGTCCACGAGATGGCCTTGAGTTTTTTATTTCCGCCCGAGAGAACACCGTTGGTTTCGTTGAAAACCTAAATGATGGTGTCTTTTGGGATTCGTCGATTTCTTTTTCTTGCGGTTTAATTGGTTTGCACATTCCCAACTTTTTTCTTCTCTTGAGTTTTCTCGTCTTATTGCGTGAGAAGATAGGTGTGTGACAAGTATAACCGGCGCTGCAGCAAAGCTATCGACGAAAAAGGGACAGCGGACGTCGGATACAGCGGAAGGAAAAAAAAATACAAAAAAAATTTCTTCAATTAATTTTGCAATTGTCCCCCGGATGTAAAGGGCAGGCATTCAGTTTATATATAAACGATGAAACGTACTTGGATTGCTTTACTAATCAGTGCTAAAGTTCTCTATGCGTGGATATGCAAAGCAATACGTACCTCCAAAAATTTTTGTTAATCTGCTTTTTGTGTGTTTGCTTGTAAAATTATTCGACTTCGAGCTAATTGTTCCACTCCTTACCTTCCTTGATCCTGATTCGCAAAGATGACCCTCGTTTCCACATTGCTTAGCGCGAGACTTTTTCTTCCCTTTCTTGGGCGGCTAAACGTTCAAGAGAAAACACCAAAATCATATTGCGTTATTTTACGATAGGTATTTATTTCTACCATGACTCTATAATGCTTGCGGCAAATGGTTAAGAAAAGATTAAGAACATTCATTTAACGGGGCATATTTTCATTACGACTTGATTCTAGGGACTGATTTCGATTAAAGGCTACTAAAAAAATTTGTGAGTGGTCATCATAAGTTTTGTATCACAGCCGCAAGGGGTGTTGCCAGCATAACAGCATGTCGCTTGCTTCAAAGGTATAACTTTTCATTTATTACGTTAGAGATTTTACAATCATTTTTAATCGTGCACAGCACAAGTCATTGTGTGAGAGGCTGTTTGCATTAACGGTGTGTAATACATTGTGGAAAATGCAATCGTGTATTTTGCTCAACAGCATTTATACAATAACACTTTTAGGCAATGATTTCCTCTGTTCGGCACCACTCAATATTTTATACTCAATGGAGACATGTGCCGTGCATCCTATTTCTAGTTTAACTTAATTAATTAATATTGGAACTTTAACAGCCACCGATGGAATGGAACTTCAAAGATTGATCAAAAACAGCATAAATACAATGAATTTCTAAGTATGGGAGAGTGACGATACCGATGTATTATTGCAAATCTAAAATGTCTCCCTATTTTGAACCGGACGCATTACATCATGGTTTTGTGGAGGATTCAAAGGATAATCCGTGTTGATTGCAAGAGATTATAATTAAGGTGACTCCTTGAGAGGTAATGACATACGAACGCTTAGGTGCATTTTTTCCTTCAAGTCTAGCGTTTCGAGCAACTCTTTTATTAAAATATGCCGTATCGCCATTCACATTTCAACTGAAACCATCAAACGAACAATACTCGTGCTCAAGTGATACCGACATACGGTGTAATCGACACACGTTCGGTTTAATCAAAATTTCTGAGGATTCTCGATATATTTGGAATATTCCCTATCCTCATGTACATGATTTGGATGAGAAGTATGTTTGTCTCGTTTATAAGGATGTGAAAACTTAAGGGGAAAGGTAAATCTACTTTACTTCACTTTTATCCAGGCTTAAGTTTATAATGTGGGACCACCATGTCTACAAGAAGTATTAATCTTGTTAGTTCCATGTAGTGCACCCAAAGAGAATAAAGAATTCTCTATTTTTTTCCGCTACCATCTGATTTTCCACGCTGACAGACACCCATTGCGGCTTTGACGTGGCCTTGTTCGAAGTTAATCTGCTAACAAGAAATGGATCTTAAAACGATTTCCCTTGGTTTGCAATCGGAGAACGTCTTATCATCCGGAACTCATTTTCTCTATCCCTCGTAAAAAAAGTGTCAGTTCTGATCAAGAGCAATTTGAATAATTTCCCTTATTTTTTTGTTACCTTTCCCCTTTTTCTCAAACTTAAAGATGGAAGACAGTTTTAAATTTGCACAAATACATCAGATACAGAGCAGCCATACAGGAGACAAATCATCTGCTTAAGGCAAGCAAGACAGTTTGCCGTAAAGTGAGTATTTTCTTACCAAATAAAAACTGTTTTATTTCAAACGATAAGTCTGATTAAACGAATGGAGCTTTTCCCGTCTTGTTCAAGATATATATTCATTTTATCACTTGGAGCAGGGTATTGGTAATAAGACATAATTAGAGGCCAAAATGGCACACATTTTGGAAAAAAAAACATCTGCATTAACAAGGCATCAATTTATAGTTCTTTAGATTGAGAAGTACACTGCGGTTGCTGTGGATGGATAATCCCTCAAGCAAGAACAATATTTAAACCCCAGGAAGTATGCTTCCAGGTGTAATCCTGCAAATCGATCGGTCACACGGAGATTGTGAGGAAAGTACCCCTTCGACGACAATTGCTATTTCCGTGGCTTTCCGAAACTTTCGTCCATTTACCTTTGAAAACTTGGGAACGATGTTTTGGCGAAATAAAATTGGTGATAAAACAAATATTTGTTCCCGGTTCGGGTGAAAAGTGATGTTGGTTACCCTTATTAAGAATTCGGTTTCAGGCCTAAGACTCCAGGGCTATCTATATTATCAGGTAATTTAGCATTATCGACTGAGTTGCTAACATACATTGGCCTCCGAGTTTCAAAGCTGAGCGAATGGAGGAATTGTGGATTGTGTGTGTGTTTACATGCGGTAAATGGGGCTACACTATTGGTGACAACATAGTAACAAGAAAAACAATCACGAACTAGTTCAATGAAAAGCGTTCATTCATACCGTGGGAATTCAGAGTGCCGAGTTGAAAGATAAATTTTTTTTCTGCGGCTTTCCGAACTGCGTAGATGTAGATGTAGATGCATTTATTTGTATTGTTGCCGATATTTCTCTCCTAAGACGAGTATTCATAAAAGAAAAGCGATTTTTTTTGGTTTACGCAAGGAGGGGGAGAGATTCAGTGCTACTGGTATCGTTAACCAGACATCTCTCTTAAGACGAGTATACTTTAAAGAAAAGTAATCTTTTGTTTTTGACCTTTTCTTTAGCGCGTAGGGAGGGGGGGGAAGGGGTTGAGGGGAATTCACATGTAAAAGTATTATGATAACAAGACCATCTTCATCTCCTTCGGTTTCAAGTCACGGATTAAGGTCTCCCCTAAGGTTTCAAGACTAAGGGCAAGATTGGTTTTATAAAGCCAAGAAAAACAGTTTAAAAGCTCTTATCAGTCTGTTATTAACAGTATTCAGACCTTGTGAGGTCTTCAAAATTCTCTTCGACACTGAGATTGACGCAATTTTCCCGTATCCGCTTTCAATGGAGTCTGGATGGCTAAACGGAAATCTTAGATTCAAATAAGAAGCTCAATATTTAATGATCTGGACATTGACCTTCTAAAGAAGCCTTGAGAAACTACGCCACTCCTTAAAGTCATCACGAATACAAGTAATGTGCGAATTATTTAAGAAACTCTCTTCCTCCCCTCTTCAAAAACAGAGAACTAGAACATTGAACAGGAACTTTTGGTAAGGGAGATATCGTGAGTGAGGCAGAAAACTTTCAGGAGGCTACGAATAACGAATTAAGATGTTCACATGGGTCAAATAATAGAAACGCGATGAACTCAATTTGTGATGGAATGGAGAGACTCTTGTAGATTTGCTCTGAATTGTCATTAAAAGTTAGGAAATGCTCCTTAGCTTGTATTTTGGAAAGTATTCGAGGAACAGCGAAATTTTAATTACTTTCTGTACTTTAATTAAAGGAGCTAAAAGGTCTTGTGATGATATATTTATGTTGGCGTCTTGTCAATAGCTACTGAGCATTATATTTTGTCTGCGACAAATCCATAGACAACAGTCCTGTGTTTGCAATTGGTGGCCCTTATACGATGCAACAGCCTCATTCTCGCCAGGCTTAGTTGTGTAATCTTGCTTTCCATTTAGCCGGCCGGCTGAGTACCCAATTATCAAACATATAGTGAAATTCGTTAAATAGGACCAGGTCAAAACCGCAAAAGGTTAAACATAAAGAATTTGGAACTCTGTCAAGAAGTCTGAAGATTGATTTTTCCTGTTTTGTCTGTTTAAGAATCCTTTGTAGGTGAGGACGTTGAAAGCTCAGTCTTCCACATATACCAACGTTATCGTAAAAATGCCTGTTGGATGGAACTGGGACAAATGCCCTTCGCTACGGCTTGCCGCATTTTGATCTAGCTCTAAGCATTGTCCTCTGATCAGTAAATTTAAAGCCGTGTAAGATGAACAATTTCCAAAGTAAGGCGACTCCCCATTTTAAGTCGTGTTTCATTTAATTAGTGCAGTTAGATTGACTAATGAGGAGATGAACTTGCTACTAATGAGGTAGTCACAAAACTAGAGGTCTATCATGTCTTTATTGCTTACCCTGCTCTCTGCTGCTTCTAGTAGAAGAAGAACAACCAAAATTACACTAAGAAATTGAAGCCAGGATTTTCTTGATTCAGCCATGTTTATCTGTTAGGTAAATGCAAAATAAAACGTTAGGACCTGAGTCACTGAATATGGACAGGACAAGGAGGGCAAGGAAAGCCAAGAGAAAGGCATTATCTTCCACCTGTCTCGTTTGCAAATCTAACACCCAAAAAATATTAACGTCGAGGATTCGAACTTAAACTTATAAACCAGCTGTACGGAAACTTGCTTAGAGTATCATTGCCTGTAAAGCAGCTTCTTATTTTAGATATAAAGCAAATCTGGACCTTTCTCTGAAAGACACGATGATCGTAAATCCATTCACTTTCAATTTACTTGAGTTCGTACCATCTGCACCATGACCAACCTGATGTTTCAAGCTTTTTTACGTGGAATGGCTGAGCTATGCACCATCGTAAGCAATTAGAACAGGATGTGTTGCTAATAGACGCTCAGTTAAATTCTTGCAAATTAATTTAACAAATTGGTTACCTCCAGACCTCTGATCAAGAGTGGTAAAATCCCTCTTTTTGAAGCTACTGGATAAATTTTTCATTCAAATTGTTCCCGGTATAACAAGGTTCTCATTCAAACGCGACTGAGATGCGACTGATGACCGCAAGACACTCAAATGAGTTAAATAGGGACATCCTCAACTAATAACTGCAGGGTGTCAATTGTTAAAAATCTATACTTCTAAACCTCTTACTATTCACTAATTTCAAGTTTACTGTAATCTAAGACTCCGGAAATGCTTTTTGAAAAGTGTCGTTCATGCTCTATTTAGACCGATTATTTCAATGATATATTATCCTAATAAAATTTACTGGATATGTTATTCCTATGTTTAGCCCTATGTTTCACGATTACAGGCGGTGGCTATTTCATTCTCCTGGATGTCCAGAAAGTTCGCGGAAAACTGCCGAAAAGGTAAAGCCAGGTTACGGTTATATATATGAGATCTAAAGAGTTACCAGCATTTCTACTGATAAAGCTCTAAAAACTTTAGTTTGTTTTAATCCCATTGCAATATTTGAAAACGGAAGTATGGAGGGTTTAAGACGTCTCCAAAACGTCTCTTAACATACGTAGTTACGTAGTTGCTGGGAATAACATTATAAATTAGCCTATGAACACGATGAATGAACAGGCAGTTTGAGTAAACTAAGCAACTAGGGATGTGGTTGTTAATCTAACAAGATCATGCGCAAGACATAATCCGACAAAATCTGTTGAGAGAAAATCTACGGAGCGATTTGCGTGAGGGGCTGAGTTAACTTGTTAATTTTCACTTCCTATGAGGTAATTCACAGTTTTCCACGAAAAAAAGCAGTTTTCAGAGTATGCTTGTGGTCGCTTAAGGCATACACTAGGATGGATAACTACTGGAGAGGACAATTATACCTGTAATTTTCTTGAGACTGAAAACTTATCTTGACAGAGATTTACTTTATTAGATACTTATGTTGTCGGCGGCCTCTGATGACACCGGAAATTGGTCGAATTCTATGGGGAAATAAAAAAACTGAAGATGGAAATCTGCGCGAATTTCAACTTCATCAAACATCATATCGTGTAATGTTGGGGCCAATGACAGAGCATTTTAAATCAAAGTGTTATGTAAACTTTACGGAAGATACAAACTGCTTTCCATTGGTCAGGTATTGCATGAGGCTGTGATAGTATTTCAGTCTACGTTTTTCAATTGGTTTACCTATATTTGGAATAATTGTAAAATCCCAAAGTATTGACAAGGCTGTGTCTCAGGCAAGTATAAATAAAAACGGTTCAAATATCATCTCCCTAAACGCTTATACAAACGTCTCTGTATGAGCTTACTTCGCGACTTCAAAGGGAGTCGAATTTTAAACAGACGGCTGAAACGTCACGCGAGCCCACTGTGAGAAGCAGCGAGGAACAAGTATTTGTAACATGTGTAAATAAACGGTGATAAAACGAGGAGATGACCTGGTTTTTTTGTAGCTTTAAAATACTCCATTTTTAAAAGGAAATTTTCAATTTTATTATTAACTGTAGCTATGCGTAGAAAATTAAAAGTCAAAAGGTTGGAAATTATTATCAGTAGTAAGCTTTATTGAGATGAGAACCAAAATTGATCTTGAGTATTCTGTGTCACTATGGCTTTTCACGCACGTATCGTCTTCATTCTGACTTGCAAAACCTGCTGAGCTCCTCGAGCTCCTCGAAAAGGTGTTTCATCTCGCGGAGGTGGGGGGGGGGAAGGTTATAACGGAAACATGCAAAAAAAGGCAAAGACAAAAACAAATCAACGACTACAGGGAAGAATTACCACAAACAATTCACCAAATTCTAGGATAGTACATATTCGGTAAATGAAACTTTCCCTGTTTTGACGACACAGCCTCACTCGGGTAATTTAGAAAAGACCAGTGTGATTTGGTACAACAGTAAATAACACGACATGGCCTGTGGGATGTTTCCGCAAAGAAGTCAAAGAAATCTTAGAATCTGGGCTACCAAATATAAACCGCCCAGGCATCGTTAACAAGGTTGGAATTTGGTTGTAAAAACAAATCAATGAAACCTTATGATTATCATACGTTGAAGTGAACTCCTAATTTGCACATTGGCAGAGAGCACATTTCTCTTAACTATAGCAATTTTATCGAATGTGAATGATGAGTGAGCTGCCTTAATTTTTTTTTAGAGTTGCAAACAAACAGTGTAATCGGAAAGTTGTCCGAAATCGGACACCATGAATCCACCAATCACAGAACTGATTACAGTAATCGAAGAAATGGCATATCATCCCACGCTGAGGATTTCCGAAAAAAAGAAAGCCGGAGAAGATTGGAATCACAGGCCCTTCCTTAGATGAATACATTTTGAACACATTTTGTTTTCTCGGAAATTTGAATCGTTATGATTAATTGATAACAGGCCATCGTGTTGAGTCCGAATAACATAAGAAAACCGTCTGAGTGCTAATGGACTTGAACCAACAACAGACTCAACTTAGGTAGGACACCAGGTTCGGTGAGCGCTCTCACCATTGCGCATGCCCTACTTCCCATTTTTCGCGTCTGAACTTGTAAAAACTCAAGTGAAAGCTTTATGAATGAGGTACATACGATATTTACACAGTCAAACAAAAGTCGCGGTTTATTCGAAAAGCCACTTGCTGCACTCCTCGCCAAACAACTTAAAAGCGCCAAAAACGATGAAGACTTAAGGTTTTGCCACCCTAACCAAATAAAGGCCGGCTTGTGCAAAGAATTGATGCTATCTTTTACTGTCTATGAAAAGGACAATAATCTGGTGCGAATATTCAAGAACGTTTAGTCGCCAATTCTAAGGGCTTTTGTTCCAAAAATAACATTAATCAAATATGATTGATATATTCAACGACGTAATTAGAGTAATATAAGAAACATCAACGACTTGCTATTAACATATCATTAACACTAAAGCTAAAACTTGCTAAGCTCTGATAAGAAGGGGTAATGGTAGCGACTGTCTGTGGCCCAAGAATGTTGAGTCCGGTTTGGGAGCAAGTAAGCAAGTAACTGTCTCTGAAAGGGACAGTTCCAATGGAAGTGTTTAAGGTTTCCTCACCCCACATCACCTAATGGTTCCACCATTTCGTGAGATAAGAATTATGATTTGAACAGCGCTACTGATCGTAACATAACGAGATATGCGTAAGGCGGCCTAACACTGACAGCCCTAAACTGTCTCATGACCATGCTGGTAAAACGAGAATAAACTAAATGAAGATAAAGGTCATCCGAAATAAGCCGATTTATCGTAAAAAGTCGCCGACTGCCTTGTATTTGATTACCACTCACGAGTACAAATATAGAGGACGTCGATAAACTCGTGTCATGTTTGAAACACGCTTTAAAACACGTGCAAGTATTGCTAAATATATCGAGAATACTAGATTGGTCAAGAGTTCCCTAATTGAACATTTTCCAATGAGGAAAAGAGTGACTTTATATCTTCCGTTGAGACCATCGAAATGTTTTAAAGAAGAAAAAGGCCAGAGCTTATCTGCATCTGAGTAAGTTTCAACTTTCCCAATCTAACTTGCAAACAGCATCACTTATGCCTTTCAACTAACAAGTTGAGTGATTTTGCAAATCTAATTTTACCTCAGGGAAATGTATTCGTGAATGATGAGTTGCTTGAAGATTTATCGAAACGGTTCAATTGTATGCGTAAGGCAACTAAGTAGGTAGAACTGCAAGTGTGAAATATAATGAACAACCGCTCACGTCCAAGTAGTCATCTGATGTCGTCGATGAGATCAATTACCATGACGACATCAGGTGACTACTAAGAGCACGAGATTGAGGCCAAAAATGTATGAGTGATGAGTGCGTGGCTCTATGAAATAGCTGCCTTACAAATTAAGAACATGAATCGGTGAGGAATTCCGAAAAATATCAACGTTAGGGACAGTTCTTTGAACGCTCCTAAAATACAATAAAATGGAAGGATATGGACTGACCATGCCAGAATCGTGCACTGCTCTCCTTACAATTTGCTTTCCGCCGGTAAGAATGCGCTTTTATGATACAACATTCAACTCAACAGGCTAAATAACTACCTTTTGGTTGACGTAAAGGACGGTGTTGCTATTTGTAACTAAAAGACCAAGATGAAATCAAAACCAGATAGTACAAAGACACAAAGAAAATTCGATTTTTTTCATAAATGAACTGATTTAAAGCCACTACGCAAGGGTCCTGCTAAATATTTCAGGCTTTCAAGCAGTTTTACTGACGGCCAAGATTTAGTTGAAGACGAGTTTTTTTTTTTTAATCTCTTAATGGATATTGTAATTGATCAAATGATATTTTCTGCCCCTCCAAACCGAACCCTCCCCCCTCCCCTTCCCTTGCAAAACGAGAGATAGCCATGGACCTACAATGGCGTAAAAAGTGGGAAAGGGAAGAGGACGAAGAGGGGCTTGACGAGACAGGAGCAGGGGGCGTGCGCACTCTGCAAAGTAAATATGACGCCGTCAAAGATTTTTCCGAGTACCATAA